AAATATAAACCATACGGCTCCGATTTCGGAGTCCCCGGCTGGTAGTGGTTAAGTCAGTATTATCAGTCCTGAATATATTTAGCTTATTTTAAGCAAATTTCAGAGTTTAGTAACAAAGTATGGAAAATTTCGGAGCCATGAGGAATGTTCAGTAAATCTAAATGTTAGGTATAGCATACTTTGTTACAGTGCGTTGTCCTGTACGAACTTTCCATCAAAAACAATGTTCCTATTTGACAAATGGGATGTGCAAGTGTCATCTTCTAAAATATACATAAATAACAGTGTTAATATTGGATTCTATAAGTGAGGGTGAAAGATAAACGTCACATCGTGTTGAACTTCTTATGGTACCATTCCTTTCTGAAGGCTCTTTTGTTCGTTGAATTTAAGAAATTTCAGTCATCTTATATATTATGTGGTTCAAGTGGTTTCATACACTTTTTATTGTATTAACCACTTCATGCCGGGGCATTTTTCAATGTTGATGATGCTGGGCCGGCATGACTATCATTTTTTCTGTTTTCAAAATCCTTCAAAAATTCATCATTTCATTTAATGGTCGTTTATAGCCGCACGAAGTAATCTTTAGGCACTACTCTAAGTTGACAGGTGACTTTCATTGACACCCGAGTATTTCAGCCAGGCCTGCAGCCTTGTAAATAGAGCCCAGATTGTGCGGCGTTATGTAACTTTCTTTTGTTCACGAACCTGGCTCAGTGCACTGCTGACCTCTTTTCAATAGGGGCCAGATTAGCGTGCAGCAGTGCTGTGTGGCTCATCGCTGCGGTGGTGGAGAGCTTTTGTCCCTGGTGGTAATCCGCTCGCTCTCAATGCCCCAAACCCTGGTATAAGGTTTCAAAACAAGGCTAGATTATCACCATTTTTGAGAGTGAAAAATGTTGATAATTCCCAGCAGCCTGGTCTTTTGTTCGGAGTACTGTCTTTTGTTACAAGGCCCTGTTTCCTTTGTTCAAGTTCGGAGACCCCGGCCACGCATATAAACCATTCGTCTCCGATTCCGGAGTCCCTGGTAGGAAGTGGTTAATAAATCAAATGGAAATGTAATCTAGGCTTTAGCTACAAAATACATCTTTACTACACGTATCAGTCATGACTTACTTTGGTGGATCCAGTGTAGGGTTTGCATTGGGATCATCTCTTGCAGGTGCTGCAGGTCTCTCTTCAGCTTCTTGCTCAGTGACTATTTCCAGTTCAAGTTCCAATTTGCCCTATGGTAAAAAGAGTGGGAAAAACACACAAACGGATTATGGCTTCTATACTTACACTCAACATGCCATCATGTGACCTCTTCATGACAGGCAATGAAAATAAAAATCAAGAATGTTCTTGCATCTGATCTTGTGCCTGGTCTCGTGATGTCTCGACTACAATACTGTATTTTACAGTCATATCAATTTGTGTAAGGGTCATTCCATGAAGTTGGATAACAGAGTGTGATAAAGGAGCTGAAATTTCAAATTCACTTAACTGTCATTTTTCCCTAAAATTTTAACACATTTTTGTTTCTCATAACTAGTAATACTTTTGCAATAACTAAGGCGGACAAGGAAATACTCGGGCATTATGCCACATGTAGCAGGTTATGGATGTAGCACGGAAACCACACAGAGTTTCAGCGCACAGCGAAGATTCTCCGAGTTGCAATTTGTAATGAAGATTCATTTGTTATGTTCTAAAGAACATGTTCTAAAGAAGTATTCTACCAAAAATAAAACAATAAGGAAAGGAATACACCACAAGAACAAATGTCAGGGTAGGTACATGTACTTGTTTTGGGAGACTTTTCAGACCAGGCAGTCAGCTGATCATTTTCCCGTATTCAGTCAGCATGGTAGGGTTTGATCGAAGTGTAGTCTTTGTAGCCATAAACAGCCACATGGATGGCAATATTTGTGTTGATCTTTATCACTTTTATCCCTGATTGTATACAAAATACAATCAAAATATCATGTCAGATTTCACAGAAAAAAATGCAAAAAATTTGGCACCTTTATTTACCTTTATTTTGTTACCTAAATCCTGTCCCCGTGCAGGCACGAACAGGGAACCCGCGGCCTGCACGCACCACATTGTGTTCACTAGCATGGTTCCTCACAGAGCGGAATCGCTCTACCATTAATTCTTGAGAAACATGTGGAACTAGACGTATTAGCAACAAGACTATACCATTTTGACCTGTGGGGGCATGTACCATATTTTCTTTTTTTTATGTTTAGATAATAACAGCATCATGGAAGTATGCAAACTGGAGTGATTGATTAACTATAGCTGGTTAGTCGGTCAGTTTGAAAATGTGCTTAAAACCTATTTATGTACGAGATAAATTTATGATTCCTCCAAGGGGATCACGCGGTACCACCCCTATTATTACATAATAGTAAAGGACTAACGGTCATTGCAATAACAAGATCTTGACGTAACTTGGAAACCGTCTGGATTTTTTTCTGATCAACTGTAAATTGTAAATAATCAAAATTTACTGAGCATGAACACACAACATGTGCCGTAAATTTTCATTCTTTCTATGATCTTGTACTATGAAATCAATGATACCAGTCTCTAATGGCCCAATTTACATGTCCTTTCGACAAACTTAGGGTGCTGTAACTGCATCATGGACGTAACATGTGGAAACTCCGTGTTTGGCAAGCGGGTAAATTCATGGCACGCTATGTTTTGCTTGGCGAATTCTAGAAAGGGCTGTTTAAGCATGAAAGAATCTATTTCTATATCTATAAATATATATGACAATATTTACATTTACTTTCAACCCACTCTCTTCGTTTCTTAAATGCCCTTTTATTTTGTCACCAAAAATGGTTTTACATAACTGGAAATCACTTTTTTGCTTCATGCTGCAAAAAAAGTTTCCACAAATTTGAACAAAATGGCTCAACAATATACCTCTCTATGTGTTCTTTTCATGATGTAAATTTAACTGGCTAATTATTTGAGGAGCCAGGTGATTCCAAAGTCTTCAGACCGTAGGCAAATAACCAGGTGTTCCCCAACTTCATGGAAAGACCCATAACAGATTGTGCAAATGAGCAATAGAACATACTGTGAGTTGGCGCTCCCCAGTCTCTTCACTGATGCATGGCCACCAACCATTTACACGCTTCTGTTCAAAGAGTGACACCATTGCTACCTCCTTGCCTTCCTTGTTGTCAGGTAGCTGCTTCAAGCCAGATTGACGAGATTTCTTCCTGGGTGCTGGCATGTTATTGAGATTCAGCTCCAAGGTACCTTAAAACATAAACCACATTGTCATACTATTAAAGCATGTAAAAGTAAAATTCTCAAGGTTTTGAAAAGTATAGAGTATGAAAAGGGAAAAAGATACACGTGTACCATGTGACTAAATCCAAAGAGTAAAGTGCTTCCAAGGAAAGGCAGAGGTACATGTACATGTATTTTGGAATAATAATATGCTCGTATTCTCTTTCTGATAGTTATAAAATGCAGATCAAAATGCAAAAATTCACAATTTTAGTTCTTCTTGAAACCATGTGACTTTACAAATAATTCACAAAAACTTGGAACCATGTAACTTAAAAAAGCTTTGTGAGAACAGTAAGGAAAATAATATATACATGTACATAGGTTTATCTCAATGTATAAGTGATCTTAAGTAATTTTTTCAAAATTGTAAGGTGAGCAAAAGGATGTACAAGTGCTGACTCTGACCCACTTGTCCTTGCTAAGTCTTGTCTGATCTCATTCAATATGTTCAAACCATATTTCAAGTTCATACATGTATGTCAAGTAGTTCTGAAGTTCTTATGCTGAAAAGATTTTTACATATACACACATGGCAGAGACAGCATGCCCTTTGACTTCATCCATAGGGCATAGAAACTGTCCTCCCAAATCTGGGCTGGCTAAGGAATATGGGTGCAGAAGGCAAAAACAGAATGCTTTTTTTGCTTTACCAGTTGTGACTTGTGTTTTTAACCACTTGCTGCCGCATGGATTTTCCTTGAGCAAGACAAGATGCCAGGTCATTTTCAAGATTTTCCATTTTCAAAATTTTTCAAAATTTCATCATTTCATTTAATGGCCGTTTATACCAAAATGAAGGACTCTTTGGGCACTACTCTAAAGCTGACAAGTAAATTCATTGACTCCTCAATATTTCAGCTAGGCCTGCAGTCTTGGAAAAAGAGCCCAGATTGTGCGGTGTTATGTAAGATTTTTTGTTCCCGAAACCGGCACAGTGCACTGCTGACCTCTTTTCAATAGGGGCCAGATTAGCGTGCAGTGGTGCTGTGTGGCTCATCCCTGCGGTGGTGCAGAGCTTGTGTCCCCGGTGGTAATCCGCTGGATTATCTCCACTATTGAGAGCGAAAAAATGTTGGTAATGCCCAGCAGCTCAGTCTAGTGCTGAGCACAGTGTTTTGTTTTAAGGCCCAACTCTTTTGTCCCACTCCCGGGCTCTGCAAATAAAGCTTATGTACCCAAAAATGGGTCACCTGGCAGGTAGTGGTTAAACACTATATGGGGGAAAGTTGTGTATTCAGGTAGGCGTGCACTTCACATGAAAATTATGACGAGCTTTAAAATGTGCTGTAAAAAAATTGTCTGTTGAATGAGTAATTCATCTGACACTTCTTCTGTTTTATAAACAAAGTCACAATTCCTTTGAAACCGACAGGAGCTGTAACGAGTTGTCAGGGGAAAACACACTTCATCCAGTTCAACTCGTATAATAATGCAGCATCAAGGCTCTGCACAGAATGTACATGGTCACACTGATCTACAAAGTTCACCTTTGTTCCTGCACTAATTGTGCACTTGTCAATATTTCATTTAAATTTGGTTACTTATGGCATTGAGTTACCTCTGAACTTGAGGATGATAAGTGTGGTAGGTAGTTGAGAAATCTGACAACATGGTGCAGAATGCTTATCATTCAAGAGCAATCCATTCCACAGCATAGACCTACTATGGAAACCCCATAACCCAGAGTAAGTTGCGATTGGCTTTTGTGAATATTTTTGTCTGGAGGGAAAAAAGGTGGCACAGGTAGTGTCATTTCACTCTAGAATGTCATACTATTGTTCTATTGGCCTAAAAGAATACCTGCCAGTTAAATAAAATGTGAAAACTTATCAGCAATGGCTCACCAAGGAAGTCATCAGCAGAGAATTTGTCATTGTCCCATACTTGAAGTATCAGGCTTGGTGGTACATGGGTCTCTGTCTTATCCAGACTCCAGAAGTGTTCCTACAACCGTAATTATAGCAGACCAAGAAGCACAATTACCTTGTGATACTTAAGAAAACACTAGTGTGTTGCTCATATTAAAAACCAAACCAAACATGAATAAGAGCTGTTCTGCTCCTTTGACAACAAACCAGGGGGCTTTTCCCAATCCTGCATATAAGCAAACAATAAGTACTGTCAGACTTTGCATGAATTCTAGGTCAAAACTGACCTCAAATTGAATGATAAGATGATGTCATCACATCATTTGAAGTATTTCATCTTGATGTACTTGATTGCAAGCTTTACCTACCAACTGATTTTTACATCTATTGGATTCCCTCAGTATGTGTAACAAAAATTGCTCTACAGTTTTGATGAAATTTTGATGACGTCACAAAAATTTCCAAAAATATGCACATCTGCTTCAATTACCAAAGGTCGTCTGAAAGTAATTTCAAAAATAATTTGTTTTTGTTTTGGAGATCTGTCAAAAAGAATTAAATAAGAAAAAAAAGGGTAGTGATGTCATCATGATCAATGTCAGCCTAATTTTCACAAATAACACATCTTTGTTTGCCTACTTTCATACCTGTCAAGACTTTTTAACACGGTTATGGACAATTGGAGATACGGGGCTGCAAAAAACCTAACTTTGTAGGTATGTCACATTACATTTGATGAAGTCATCATATCATTGTTCTGGAGCCATATAAACTAAGGTCTTTCCTTAGTGTATTAAACTTTGGTGAAGATGCAAGATTGCAAAGTGACCAAAGTTGTCCCTAGATTATGGGTTTTTCATAAATATTAAACATGTAATAGTAAATCAAACAATAACATCATCATGACCTCATTAGACATATCATCCCGAGTACAAGTGTTATCTCCCTACCAATTTTTATGCTAATCAGAGCTTGCCTAGTATGGTTTGAAAAACTGTCCTTTTTGATGAAGTCATGACGTCACAATAGCTTTGACTACCCAGGAAATTTATGTTGGCCAGACCTAGTTTAATATGTCAATAAAAAATTAAAGTTTTTGATGATGTCATCACGACTTTACAAACTTTCAAACCAACCCACACATCTACATGAAACTGTCTTCCAAAAAGATATGAAAATTACTTTGTTGATTAGATATTTCAAAGGAATGTTCAAATAAGAAAATCCTTTGCGAGCAGTGAAGTAACTACCAATTAGGATTCTGAATTTACATATGATCCTTCCAAGATATTAATACTTTACACTTATTATATTCATGTCCCATCTCAAAAGCCTTGAAACTGTTTCTGTCTGGTGCTCTGACAACCAATGTCTCTGATCCATATGTAGCCACTATGGAAATTTTAAGATTATGACTAGAATTTTGTTGGCTGTGTAAAATATTCCTCTGTCTGTGCAGATGTCAATTAGGGTAACATACATGTATGCTACCATGTCCTAGCCATGGAAGGAGAATTCTTATTTCATAAGAGCTCCAACGGGATTCCAGTATATTGTAGACCATAAAGCTTGCAGAGTTTAAAAAAACGTTCTTTTTGCTAGCTTTGAATTGCAAATGTGCACTGCAGATGCATCTGCATGTAGTGGATAGATTTCAGGGGAAAGAAGGACTTCTTGCCCTAATAAATTCATGACTGTTTGTGTACACTGGACTTCAGGCTGGATTTCTTCATACAAAAGACTTCAAGGTACATTTATCTCCACATTTCCGGCAATAACACAGAATTACACATATATAACTTTAACCGTAACACTCTCAAATCCTCCAATTTCAATACGATTTTACATACACCCTAGGGGGTTAGGGTTAATCTGATTTTGATGGAATCAAACTCATTAAAGGCTGCTTTCACATGATACATTCAATGGTCACCCATTTTTCTGACCTTGTCATTACAAAACAAAACATACATGTACACTGGCCAAGTTACATGTATGCTGTGTGCCTCTTGTGAGAAGGTGTAACAATTTCTTCCAACTTAAGGTAACCTATCAAAAGTCTTGTTGGGTAACTTGGGGGGGGGCAACACCTTTTCCAGACCAATGAAAACCTCATAGATTTGCAATGCAACTATTGGGTCAGTTATTGAGACAATGGAGGCCAGTGGTTTATGGTCAGTGGATTTACTACCCAAGGTGAGGTGACCAGTCCCTTCCCATCATGCAGTACTTATCAAGCTTGACAGGTTTACAGAGCTATAAAATGGTGTGTGGTTTTCTGGATTATTTCGCTGAAGTAGCTGTTATTCCCCTTGCTTGAAGCACTATATGACTTGTATTTGTCTCAGGTATGAAATTATTTACTTTCTATGAATTTTTCAGAGTTTTGAGTCCCAAGATCTCATCTGTTGCATATTATTGATTCACTTGCAAGTCCTTCATGGTATGTTCCAAGAATACCAAAATACAGAGAGAAAAAGTTACATTCTTCTGATCAAGCCTTTTCAAGGGGTATTTTCAGTTTGCTGAGTATTAATACAAGCAATCAGCGGTTTGAATTTTACATCTAAATCAATTAATAAAGACAGTACTATCAATTAAATAGGGCAAAAAATTGGCTTCCAGCTTTATTTCTTATTTGTACTTTGGAAATCTAAACAATTCTGATCAACACTTTCAGGCAACATACACACATTTGTACAATGTCTTTTAAGACATCGACAAGAATGTGCTCTGAAATATGTGATTGCCGAGCTTTTGGTAACTGAGTACCTTCTTCAGGACAAGCAGATTCAGTTCACTGACTCTGACTCACTGGTCTCTCAGTTCATCAATTCAAACAGGTGTGGCTTCTATCATTGGTAGTATTATGCAAAAAAATTGAAGACTGTAAAAATCTTTTTAATAAAAAAGTAAAAGGGACCTGATTGCATACATGTAGGAGTCTAGATTTCATGTGACACCAGAAGAGTATTTTAACCACTTGCTGCTTTTAAAAATACAGTGCACACATACAGGAGATTTCAAGAGTTCCAGTTTTCAAAATTCTTCCAAAATTCATCATTTCATTTAATGGACGTTTACACCCACATGAATGACTGTTTGGTGGCTACTCTAAGCTGACAGGCAACCTTCATTGACTCCTTAGTATTTTAGCAAGGCCTGCCGCCCTGTAAAGAGAGCCCAACATTGTGAGGTGTTGCGTTATTTCCTTTGTCCTCAGTGAATGCGAGTGTAATCTTTTCAAATGCGGCTGGATTAGCATACAGCTGTGCTTTGTTGCTCATCAATGGGGCTCTGGAACACTTTTGTCCACGGTGCTGATCCGCGGGCGTGCTATGCCCAAAACAGTGGTATAATGTTTAAAAACAGTGATGGATTTCTTTGAAAAATGCAAGCCAAAAATTATGGCAATTCCCAGCAGCAGGTCTTTTGTTTTGAGTATGGTCTTTGTTACATGGACCAGCTCTTTTGTCCCATTTCGGGCACCCCAGCTCTGCGTATAAACCAATGGTGTTTGAAACGGGTTCCCCAGCAGCAAGTGGTTAAACTAATGGGCTCTTGGTTGGTATCAAAGGGGTGTCACAGATATTTATAGTTTAAGATTAGAAGAAGAGATAAGACAAGAAGAATACTGTACCTTCTTTTTAATGACCATGACTTGTTCCGGAGGAATGTATTCGAATGGGTAGACAAAACGCCAATTGAAGTTGCCTTCACCATTGAGTGAACGGTAGTGAACATCAGTTTGCTGCTTCTCATCCTGACCAGCCATCCATCTGCAGATACAACACAACGATATGCAGGCAATAATAAGCTTCCACTCTACAAATCATTAGATTGATGAATCCCTCCACTAACATGATGATAAACTGACTGAAAGCATCATAATGAATCAGGTTCTTAATGTTTGTAGATCACTGCATGACATTTAAAAAACCAAAAACATTACTTTTCTCCTCAGAAAATCTTTATTTTTGTGAGTTTCTCAGTTTTTCCTTATCTGAGATGTTATGGTAGGAGCATGATCATAAAATCTTTCCAGCTTTCAGACACTTCTGCAAAGTAGCACAATATGCACTAGATTTCAAGTTGGCTGCATATCACATTTTTGTTCCATTTCTTATCTTTGAAGCAAACACCTCTCACACCTTTCTCCCACACTTACGCTGATTTTTTTCCAATTCTCTGATGTCTGCATCACCTTTGTGATATGAGGTACTGACATGCATATTTCCATCCGCTCAAAACTTACGTTACATCTTTGCACGCATTGAGCACTAGAAGTGCCCCGAGGTTCCAACTCTGATTGTTAACATTACAGCAGAGCCAGTGCAGCTGCCTGAAAAGAGGTGGGTCAAATACATGAGAGGTTGTTGCATCAAATTACTGCAGATACCCAGGCCTGTGCTGACAGGAGAACAAAATGGACTTCTTTGGCCTCACTAGCTCAGCTGCAGCTCCTCTGCAAAGTGTTTATGGCTCATCTCTCAACACTCCTCCATGATTATTCATCAGAGCTTCACAATTTGGAAAAAACACTGAACAGTCTCCTGAACAGTTCCCATAGAGTAAAGTTTAACTTCAGTGATTCTATTCTCCAGTAATCAGCTCAACAAGCAACAAGCCATGATAAATGTGTGACTGCCTTTGCTTGATCAACTGATGGAGAAGCTGTTGGCACAGAGAGTTTCTCAATGGAAGTGATCCATGCTGGTCATGAGAGGTTGTCTGATGCTCTTCACTTATTTTTCAACCCATGGGTGTTCAACCAGCTCCCACAAGTTCCTCCATGCAATTATTATCATCACAATCTTCAGGTATATGAAGACTGTGGAAAGTTACGAAGTACCTCACTCCCATCCATCACAGGCAATGTCTATGGTACCTCCTCTCTAGATATGGAATGCTTTATTCATTTCCTTCTTACATCAGTTCCATGTTGGCATGTTTGTCCAGCTCTACTCAGGTGGCAAGGTCTCAAATGCTTTTTCTGTTTGGCACTCACATTCTTGAACTTTCCCTCTTGGCATGTCTGAAGTTCATCGACCAACATCTTACAGAAGGTGCCTACATAAGCATCAAGACAGCAAAGTATCTAGTTGACCTGTTCCTACTCTGACTCAATGCCAAAACCAAAGTCTGCACTCTCCTTGTCAAAAGCTGCTGTATTTTGATGACAATAGGTTTCATCATGCATAATTACATGTATGTCAACCTGCAGAGAAACCTTGACACCTTTGGCTGAGTGATATCTTCAGCCAATAACCTGGGGCTTTCTATAGAAAGAACTCCCCAAGAAGAAAACTCACAGTCTTATCCATCCTCTGCACTCATAACCATACCTCCTGCTTTGCTTAATGGTTTAAAACTGGACACAGTTAACAGCTTCATCTACCTTTGGAGAAGCAGAGCAGTTAATGGCAGCATTGAATCTGAGACCAATAAGTGAGTGAGGGCAGTATGTATGTCTTTTCATGTCCATGACGTAAAGTATCCAATATTCCCTCATATGCAATTTCTATCTTGCTGTGGTTCCTGCCTATATTTTATACATCAGAGTCACTTACTGTGTATGACAACTGCCACATCCTGGATATCAGCTCGCAGTATTAAAGATTTCACACCAAGGTTCTGCGACTTGCTGTCATGTCAGTTTTCTCCAAAATGTTCAAGGAATGTCAAATCAGATTGGCTATGTTGTCGGATGGGTGAAACCATTCCATCCAAAGTGGTCTTCTATTAGACCTTCAAATAGGTAGCAGGGCCTCATGGGCATCCCACGGTTTGCTTAAAAGACACCTTGAAATAAATGCTAGAAACATGCCACATTCATGTCACCACCTGGGTTGACAAGGCATTTGCCACTCCCAATGGAAGCAGACCATATGCTCCCAATGGAAGCAGACCATATGCAGTGGCGCAGTATTTCCTTAAGATGCCCAAGATGATGCCACGTTCCTACCTCACTAGTCTTTGTTGTAGACCTTACCTTGATGTGTGGAGGCTTTGGATGTGTTTGCTGTGCTTTAATTGGCCCCTTTCTGATAGCTTGTCCAACGAATGCAGGACACCCTTGGTTGACAAACTTGTTTAAAGTTATTTAAATGATTCACACATGCTCCAAAATACCCCCCCCCATATCCATTATGTATATCTCGAATTTTCAAGACAAGGCCTTTTCTGGTTTGTATAATTTATGTGTAGACACACAATCATTCATTGGTATTATTTGCCAATAATTGTAGCGAGCAATTTGGTCTCCATGGTAGTCCCACTAAGCTCGGTCAAGCATTCAGCGATAGCTCTTGCAAACAACAACTGCTTGGGTGGAATTTCAGGCACTTTTGCTCCCGGTGACACAGATCAGCGTACATGTACCATGGGGCATGCAGCAAGAGAACAACTAACATTCTTTCTCTGGTGCATGGTATCCATCAGAGTACCGAGAACCAATTCATATTAATGTATCACCTCTGGAAGATCTTCCTTGCCGTCTGCAACTCCAGTTGACAAAAAGGAATTTCTGATGGCTCGGGATATCTTGTCATTACACTTGACTGCATCATGGTCAGATGGTAAACCAGTAAAGACATGCTAAATCTAAGATAATTTCCCTGGATCTGCGAGTGATCATTAGATCCATGGTTTGTCCACATAGGTAACTCGCTCTCTGGACTGTAGTCTGGATGAATCCAGAAGATCTAGGAATGCAGCTTCATGTTGGTACATCTACACGAAGGTTGAAATTGCTTGTAATCAGAATGTGACCGAGGTGGGTGATCAGCATCTCCAAAAGCGTAGAAACCTCAAAAAAGGACTTTGTGGTAAACTTATATTGAAAAACATACAAACAGTGCTCTTATTAATCTTATAGCCAACATTCTGATCACTGTGCTACATAGCCCTTTCACATTTCTTTGTGGTTAACTTAAACGTATTCTTTTTCAATGGTGAAGGTCGATAAATAATAAACAATCTCAGCAAAG